TAAGTCATAGTCTTTTGAGACTGACTGATAGAGAGGGAGAGAGGGTGAGGGAGAGAGAGAGAAAGACAGAGAGAGACAGATAGAGAGAGAGACAGAGAGGCACAGAGAGAGACAGAGAGAGAGACAGACAGACAGACAGAGAGAGACAGAGACAGAGAGAGACTAGACCTGTATCATTATTATTGTACATAGAATTTTATCACCATGACCTGTACTTAGCATGCACAACGAAGGTCTTTTATTCAATTCAATCAATCATTGATAACAAAGGCTACCTAGTCTGTCTCAGGATATCTGGGATAATGTTTCATCAACAACAATGTTGTTTTGCGTTCGCTATTCAGATAGTGCAGGGGCATACAAGTCTCTTCCTGTAACACACGTCACTTTGTTATTTCAGACACTTGCGTGTGTATCATTCATTTTTTGCTGCCCACATTTTAATAAAACATGTAATAAGATATGATCACAAAACCCACTCATTATGCAGAACGTTGGACTATTCATTGTAGACTACCTTCATAGAAGTCAAACCTCATAGTAGCAAGCGTAGTAGTATTGCAGTAGTTGTATGTTCTCTATAGATTTACTTTACTTTCTTTGACGCTGTACAAGCAATTAGCCTTCGGAGATGATTTGGCGAATAAAGAAATATTGTAATCTCTGTAAATTAAAAGTTCATTAAAATGGGCACTTCATTACTAATTGTGGTTAATATCCGTGTCCATAATATCACCAGCGTCCATAATATCGCCACCTTGAGAAATAGTGTGCTTAAAGATATTTTCACTGCAACATACTTTTGGTATGCACTCCTTCACACATCAAATGTACATACCTAGGGTATGTTGCAGTAAAAATATCTTAAAGCACACTGTTTCTCAAGGTGGCGATATTATGGACACTGATGTTAGCTATTTTGTATACATTACATACGAATATAAACCCGTAATTTTCAATTTACCCAGCGATTAGGCAAATTAACCGGAAGTGTGCCATTCGCAATCATATGAAAACGTCCCCGTTTTTATTCACTACTTGTTAGTAGACTGACTCCGCTTTGATACAGGCCATAGAAAACCCTGAATGGAAAGATGGCGTTATAATACACAGGTGTACAAAACAGGCGGATCTGTATAGGAAGTGGTTTATGCATTTTGACAGTTGCTAATTTCCGACTGTGTGGCTCTATTGAATATGGGGTTGTTGTACCGGAAGGGTGTGTTCAAAATGACTCATGTCGGGGCTTTAGGGAAGTGTGTACTAGTTCATAATTAATCAATTTATGGCCCAGTGCCATTTCTAAATCGTGCCCAATTATGATAAACTGTTGTAATGTGTAGAAAAGTTTAAGCGCTTAAATCAGATCTCATATGGCGTTGTTCAACACAGATTTGTATACAAATCTGGAAGGGTTAGGGTTAGGATCAGGCACGGTTCTTGATAGTCTCAGTCTGTGTATCCAAGAACGTACATTTGCCCCAGACACGGTTCTGGATTCGCGTGGACTATCCCGAGCCGTGCCTGATCATGATTCTGGATAAAGCACGGTTCTGGATACGCGTGGACTATCCAGAAACGTGCCTGAGCATGATTCTGGATACAGCAGTACCTGTAGTGATGATGTATGATGACATTACTCTCCAAGCAGAGGTTGTGGGGGAATGATCGTTAGCTTTTTATATATGGCTGTTTATTTTGTCGGTACCCCCACAAACAAACCCCCACCGTCGGTGGCTGGCGACCTTCTCTGGCTAATGGATGCTGCCTGGCCACCGAAAGGGATCTGCTTGGAGATTATGATGACATGGCGTCACCATAAGGCTGAACTAAACTGAACTGAGTGGCTGAGCGTACGTGTTTTGCCGTAGGCTAGGCCTAAGCTATCATGTTCTCCCCAGTACAGGTGTAACATACACCCTCACTAAACATGGCGTGCAGGTATGTGCCGAATCGCTGTAGGACATGTAAGGAGATCTGCCCTGCAACCTGCGTAAAATACATGCATGGCACAACCTGGCGTGACCAGTTATCACATGTACAAACGTGGTAAGGCACCCTCTCAACCAAACACTGTGTGACAGGCTGAATAAAAGTTCTAAACAGGAACTATGCGGCTCCAGATGTCTTACTGAGGGACGACTGCGTGTGAGAGATGTTGGTTAGATGGGGGAATGAATCCCCTCTACTACATGTAAATACAGATGAGCAAATGTAAGACACCCTCTCAACTACACGACGATCCTTGTGCGAACTTTGCTCGATCATGCAACGTTTTTATTTCACTTGTAACTTTTGATATCATAACTGGAATATGGTGTGCGATGTAAACCTGTGATGTGAACGGCAAGAAAAGACGGAAAACGTGGGAAAAATAGTTTGAATGATCTGTCAGATATTTGGCGTTATAGCGCTAGTGCTCGACTCGGAACCAAAGGTCCCGGGTTCGAATCCTGCCATGCCACCGGTCTTATGCCCTTGGGAAAGGCACTTTACATGACTTTCTTCGCCTCTGTGTTGGTGGTGGCATAAATATGATTTCAAAAAACTTGTGCCGTCACCACGTCTTGTGATTACATGTTGGAACTAGAAAGGCCAATATTTGCTTTGGAGCAAATACAGCGATGGGTTCACCACATTTTACCACATGGCAGGGAAAGAATGAGAAACACAAGGGAAAACAATGATTTACATTGATATAACTATAATATGAAGTAAAATACAACTAAAACAACAGTTGGATAGCTATTCCCTACTTTATTGGTTAGGATTTTTAATTGCATAATGCAAACTGTTGATTTTCAAAATAAAAAAAAACGTTCATGCCCGGCATTCCAATGCTGGAGCAGGAAAGCTTGAAATACCTACCAAAACACTTGAATAAAACATACTGTCAGTATGGAAATGCTCTGTGCAGGTGTTATTAACAATCACATAAACTATGAAGCCATACATTGAATAAGCTATACATATAATATGATTATCATAAACCTTTATTTTTAAAATCATGCCAGTGAGCTAATTGCATGTACAGAGTGAAAGAAAGTAAAGTAAAGCAGTAGAATTCT